ATTACTTTCCTTTTTGTTCCTAGGTCTGTAACAGATTTTCTTACTGAAACTGCCCTTGTGTTCAGAAGTGCAAAATGAGGTTTTGCATATCTCCTTTGCAGCAAGACTGTCTAAAATACTACTGCAGAAATACTCCTTTCCCCAACAGCTCTGCCCCGATATTTATGAAGAACATGAAAGATCTGTTCACAGAATGAATAACCACTTCTGGTGGAATTCTTTCTACCTGAACCGCATGTAACCTTTTTCTAAGGTACACTTGAGTCATGTACCTGGGATCTGCTGTGTTTAAATTATGAAAGAGGGAGTCCAATCTGAGACCTTTCCCATTTCTTTTAACTTTTCTTGTTCCAACTCCTCTCAGCCTCCCTTTAGATTTCTGTAGCTTTGTCTCTTCAAGGATGTTAGACCTTTAAGTCTATTTCATTTTAATGACAATAAATCATGCTGGACTAAAACACTTGTTAAATTGTTTGATTTATGCATTTCTCTCTCATGCCCTTTCTTCTGCAAATAGTTATGGAGTACTTGCAATGCATTGCACAGATCAAGCTATATAAATCTAGCCGTGCAGAACCCAGATACATGACCTTTGGGGCAGGGTTTGTTCACTCTTTAGGCATTGCTTATTCATGAATTGCCACTGGGAGAGAATGTGGTTAGAAGGGTAAGCAGAGCCCATCCTTATTTTGTCCCTCAATACTAATCAGTAGGTCTACTTTTTAATGTCTTAGGTGTCCAGTTCAGATAGTCAATTATGTTTGTTCTGATCTTGAACACCACACCATGTAAACTCTGGGATGCCATAATCAGAGGAAAGCTTTAGAAAAGAGAGTCCACGCTGATAGAGGAGTTGGTAGAAGAAAATTTCGCATGGAAATTTCTTTTCATAGATCACGAGATACTTGAGCCCATGCCTAAAAAATAGATTTTAGGCATGGTAAAGAAACATGGGACTGTTACCAACATAGCCAGTTGGGAGATGACTAACACTTGAGCCAAAGCAACAGGACAGAGCATAAAGTAGGTGGGACTGACTCAAACGATTTTAAGCACATGGAGACCAACTAGGTTTTGGTGGTGAGGAACAAAGGACAGCCAAGAATGACCTAAATCTCATCATCTTTGAAGAACAACTGCTGGGTTAGTGACTAACTGCCTACTACAAGCTATTAACATTTTTATGCATAGTTCGAAATAATTTAAGAAACCAAGCTTCTAAAGTCTTCCTCTTAGTCCATAAGCACAATCTGCCTTTCACTTTCCTTTTCTAATAGTTAATTAATTATTATTCTCTTTTTCTGCCCAGTTCTCGTTCTTATTATTTCATTTATAATAATCACTGTATTAGTGGATTGTTCTAGCCAACTGTCTCTTCACTTCTCACCCAACTATGCTTTATCATTTATGTTAGTATAGTCTTAAAATACCACTTCAAAATTGCACAGGGTTTCTTCAATATTTATGATGCTGTATCACAGATCTTTACTTATGAAGGCTGGAATTTCACAATCCTAACAGGACTTTCTTGGCTTTAAGAAACTGCCAACATCAACCCTGGGCAATGCTCTGCCGCATTTTCCCCAGGAACACTCACATAGGTCAAAATATCCCTCCTAGTTGCTTTATCTTTCACTTCCATTGCCTCTTTCTTGGTTTACAAAACTTCACAATCAGAGTCATTAATTGAGAAGTTCTAAGGAGCAGAGCCTCACTGTCAGAGTTGGGTCAGAATTCTAACTGTACAACATGATATTTATATATATCATGGGTAAAAGCATAATCTCCTTTGGCCTTATCTGGAAAATAAGTATAACCCACATATTATAGTGGATTATTATCCACCCTATGAGGATAAGAAGTGTCAGATTAGGACAATTGGAAGAAATAATCCACATTGATTGCTTGTCATAGTGCCTTGCACATTGCAAAATTTTAACATATGGTATTTTATCATCAGTCTATGAATTAAATTCCTCCTCTTTCTTGTACTGGGATGAATCCAGGGGCTCCACACTGAGCTACATCCTCAACATCCCCCTCGAATGATTCTCCTGCCTCAACCTCTCAGAATGCTGGAATTATGAGAAATCTCTCCTTTCTAAAGAGCTTCTCCTTAACTAAGATGTCCATCGTCATGATAGTTGTTGTTTATTCATGTACTCTAATACTTGATTATTGCTGATTTAGAATTTAGTTGATTATTGAATCAACTGTTGTTTACTGAATCAACGCTGAAAGTTTTATTTCCTAATAAGACTATGAATTATTATAAGGATGGTGTGCATACAGTGTTTCTCTTTTCTACTTCATAGGATCTAACATAGTCAATGCTTAGGAAAAGATACCCAATTAAATGTAAAGTTCTCCTATTTGTTAGCCTATTCTGATTTTGACAAAGGCTTATTAGTTGGCTAACCCAGAAAAAGTATATGCATATTCAAGGCTGATTGAATGGTAGCAAATCTAGGGGATTGTTACTGTATTTTTCAGTAAATGCATAAACATTTAAGACTTTGATTGATGGAGTTTAGTTGGTAGTGCTTGTTAGAGGCATGTGGGCTTGAGAAATTTTGGTAATCTAGAATCTCTACCTTTTTCTTCCAATTAGAACAGTCGCTCTGCTTGTCTATAGCCCACAACAGGCAGGCTGCTCTTGCTTCATGAACTCATAGATCGCGAGATACTTGAGTCCACACTTTCGCCTGCGTGAGAATCACCTGGAGAGCTCGTTAAAGCCAGAATCCCTGGCCTCGCTCCCTTCCAAGGGGAGGGCTCTGTAGGGAATCTGCAATCATAACAGGCTCCTATGTTGCTAGAGCTGCCGATGGTCAGGCTATGTTTTCAAACTCATAATTCTAATCCTAAAAAAGAGTAAACTCAACAAGGGTAGACTTTTTTTTCTTTTAATTTATATTTAAATATCCAGGGGGAAAAATAGGTCACTCAATGGTAGTACAGTAAACTTTTAAATATAGGCAGGCTAGAATGCCACTTTCTTTCACTGCAAATCATGGAAACAGGAGATACAAAACTCTAAATAGAAAACCCAGTGTTGAATATATATGTGTATTTGTAGAAATGCATAGAAAAATGCTTGCAAGGAAGTGCATCAAAATAGCTCCACTGGTTATTTCTGAGCCATACAAGTATTGGGTGATTTAAAACTTTTCACACTTCTCAGCATTTTCTATACCACTTTATAATGTGAGCTTGTTCTTTATCATTAAAATGTACTTTTAAAAATACGGCTTTGCATTCATAACACTGAAGGAAGATGGCACAAGCAGCTGTGATCTAGCAATACTGCATTATTTTTATAGGCATGATAAGGAATTAAGATATTTCAGTTCAATTCTCCTCTGTGTCATTTACTACCTGGAAACCCTCCCAAACTGTTAAGCTTCCTTTACTGTATAATGAAAGAAATAATAATTCCTCTCCGAAGTATTGCAAAAATTAAATGAAATCATATTCTTTTTAAACTAAAATATATTGAATATATGTGAATGATTATGCCATGGATGAGCTAATGCAAGTTTATCCCCCATTTTTTAGTGTGTACTGGTTATACAGATGAGTAGGTCTCATTTGGGCAGGTTTGCACATGCGCGTCCTATACTTCAGTCGTTCCCCTGCTGCCCTTTTGCCCCACCCTCCATCCTGGCTTTATTCCATTTGGGGACGTTTTCAATGTGCAACATACATTTCGATCATATTCATTTCCTCTCTTACTGTTGTCTCTTCCCCCTCTCTCTATTCTCTTCCTCTGGTCTAAATGTGGTCTCCTTTGTCCTTTTCTGTTATATGTTGTTTTTTTCTTTTTGATTGTACATATTGGAGAACCAGGCCATATGTGTCTCTCTGAGGCTGTGTGATTTCCGGCAGCACAGGGCACATATTGACCCCGTAAGTCTTAGCCAGGTGACCCTGTTCTGAGTAGAGTCCTGCTTGAGCTGCATGATTTCTGCACAGCAAGGTTAGGAGAT